GGGGGGGGGGGGGCGCGGCGGCTTGGGTATGAACGGTCTTCAAGGGAACTCGGGTTTAGCTTTGCCCCGGGCCTCAGGAAACCTCTGGGCGGCCCTGCATAGGGTCATACCGTAGCACTAGCAATACAATAGTATGAGAGAGCAGGGAGGCTGGCCGAGTCTGCATTGCGTATGAGCGAGTGCCTGCTAGTAACAACTCGATGTGCTCCTTTGCCTCGAGTAGAGACTGTTTTGTCATCCGAATTCGCATTGCAAATTGCCATGGAATGGAAAGATACAAGATACACAGTTAAGTAATTGCTTGGTGCGCGAGAAGAGGTTTTTTTTTTCCGGAGTCGTGAAACTCGCGAAGGGAAAAGCACTTTTCTCCTCGGGCGGGATGCGCCTCTTTCGCTCGATTGCTCCGTGGGTTTCCGCTCTGCCGCGGCGCGGTTTCCGTTTCGTGTTTCGCGCTCCTCTTAATGCTGCAACGAGTTCGTTGTGATGATGATGAGCTGGCCATGATGTTGTGATGATTATTCGGAGACGGGCAGTCACTGCCCGGAAATAGGGGCATTTGTCGATCCGAAGATGTTCCGATACTCGTGACTATATGCTAACTTTTTTTTACATTTATATTTGTATATATTTGTTTATATTTGTATTCCAGGTATTTAGATGTACACGAGCTGAAAACGCCTAAAAAATTCGAGAATTCATTGAAAGGAAAAGGATTTTCCTCCCAAATAACCAGTCTAAGCCGAGAGAGAAAAAAAAGAGTACTTACCGTACGCAGACGCGGCAGTTACGGCCAGCTTTCAGTCGCTGCTCGCCGTCAGATTAAATTTCGTGGTTCGAGTGGGTCGAATGGGTCGAATGGGTCGACTTCGCCTGCGAGAAGATTCCACGCCGTAGAAGATCCGCGTATGAAGTGATGGAGTCTGGAGAAGGCGAAACTCAGATGAAAAGAAAGAAGAATCCCTACTCGCTCACCGGTTCCGCGTTTCCTCCGAGCCAGAAAGGGAAGAACGCGGTGGTGCAATTCCGCAGGTCCTGACTCCGACATCAGCGAGACGCAGAGACGAAGCGACTGTCTGTGACCAGACAGACCTGTCTGCCCGTCTGGCAGACTGGCATATAGGCAGACTGGCATAGAGGCAGACGGGGCTGTCTCCTCCCCGTTCTCGACGAGCAAGTTTTCGTCCGTTGGCCCAGGGGCCTCCTTTCTCTCCGTCGGGTGATTCCGCCGTGCCGTGTCGTAACGGGAAACTCGTCTTCGGGCGTGAAAATCTTCCTCGCGCCCAGTGGCGTGCGAAGGCCGAGGATCGGAGGGATTCCATCTCGGCGTCTGAGAGAAAACGCTGGGAGAAAAAATAACCTTACCTTACGGTGAAAGCGAACACACTTAATTTCTTGCCCACACGCTCTCCGAGCGGATTCCGCGCAGCCGCGCGCTGACTGGCCGTGGACGGGCTCGAGTTCGGGAAGCGATGGGTCGCGAGGGGATGCCTCGCTGCTCCCTCCTGTATCGAGAAAAAAGTTTCAGTTTCCGACAAATTCGGCCTCGAGAAGATTTGTGGTCCAGAGTGTGTCCTAGCCACTGGTACAACTTTTTGGGTTTTTTTACCATATTTACAGTAAACGAGATAACCGCGCGCAAAGGATAATGCATGATGCACCTCTCTCTCCATCAGACGCCGTCCTTCTCCCTCCATCTCAACGACACTCTCGACAAAAAAATCACTTTCTGGCAAGATTTGAAGTCTACATCCCACCCTAACCAGCGGTATACATGTTGAAGCCGTGCGCCTTCGTTTTGGTCTAATACCCTCCCAGATCGGATGATCCTCGATCTCACGTTCTCCCGGGAGGTCAGGCGGCGTTCCGTCTCTCTCATCTCCAGAAATGGCTCGTCTCGTGAAACATACTTTTCAGACGAGATTTGGAGCTCAGAGTCCGTTCTGGTCTGTGGTATACGTTTCTTTACTATTAGTATTATTAGTGGTATCCTTGAGAAGGATACTGCCTCGGGTGGTTACATGAGATGAAACCATCTGAAGGTGTATTCCTATAGAAAGTAATTAAATCTCTTGAATTTTCTGTGTAACGTCTTTGTGATGCACAATTTATTTTGGATTCATATGAAACTTTAATTTTTTTTTCAATAATCGTTTTTCAGGAAAAAAAAACTACCCGATGGCTCAATGGCAATGCTCATGATTCTCAGGATCAAATGATAAAAATTCACATCTTGAGAATTAAATTTCTATAAATCCGGTCAACAAGGGAAAAGTACTCTGGAAGGAAGAAATTTTGACATTCATGTAAGAACTACTAAAAGTACATAATATACAATCCAATATCATTTAAAGCAAAGCAATTCCATGCACGACTCTGCTCCAAAACGTTCACTCCAAGTCTGAAGCAATAAATGGAGAATATATGAGGAGAATGCCACTGCATTTTCATTGGATGCTGTGGAAAAATGGAACTGTGGGCGTTCCTGAGGTGTCCGTATATGGGAGCTGCTAGTAATGATCTGACTACTATTATTATGATAGTACCAGTGGAATCCATAATGAAACACGAGGTGGTTCAGCAACAGGAACAAGGGTTTATTAACAATTTAAAGACAACTGAACAGAAAGAGAGTGAAGGGTCCACATGGGTGACAAGAGAAAAGGACATCCACGTGTATATAAAGTCCTTTCGCTTTGAGAAGAGCTAGTCGGCAAACCAAGTTGACAGCAGCGATTCCTCGGTCTCATTAAGTCGCAAATTCATTAGGAGATTTCTGACAGTTTTTCTTTTCACGCCCGAATGGGGATCATAAACCACTTGCAGAGGACTCATGTCAGACCTGTGAGAAAAACCAGAGTTGCCAGAAATGAAGAGAATGCTTCATGTAGGAAAAATCAATTTTATTGGCGCATGTTGCGCCGATATACCTGACAAGGCAACTTGAGAAATATTACGTAGAAAATTCCACGGTCCCTACATTTCACGACCTCTCTCTTCCGTGGCTCAGGTCAGTGTAGAGACAAGAGAGAATATCCCTATTTGACATCTCCGAACTGTCATCCAACAGGACAGGTTGAGAAGGTGCTAATTGCATGCTCTCTTTCCCCTCAGTCACGCATTAATCACGACAACAATCGACCTTTGAAAGATAAAAAAACTAGCTCTTCTCAAAGTGAATGAACTTATGAATGTCATTCAATATTTTTTGAGACAGGATTATGCCCCCATGATTATAAGCAACTGATGGTGAAGGTGCAGACAGGGTCCCCACACTGGTTCACTTGTGGTGACTGCCTTTTCCAGGTCATTGAGTACACGCATGTAACATTTCCATGGAAGTGTGTTGGAAAATACAGGATTAAAAACTCCCACCTTTGTCTTGCATCGTCATACTCAAGCAAAACTATTTACGCAAAACATTTTATAATTTCAAAAAACAAAACAGATTGTATTGAAGAAGTTGTTCAATCCTCACAAAGAATCCACATTAATGAAATCCCTACCTAAAAGTTTCTGAGTAATACATGCTGTCTTCAATCTTCACTTCTGATGCACAGATACTTCATAATGCATTTCGCCAGGTTATTCAAAGTGCTGGAGAACTGAAGCACAACTGCTCATCAGGAATTGAGCTAAATAATGTACATGCTCATTTTCTGATGCTTACTTTTTGGAATGTATGCACACAGACTTCACTCCTTGATTTGTGATACAGGGCTAGCTTGCTAAAGAAATGTCAGGACGAACTGAATTAATAGCAAAAACAGCTTGGTACATGTTGATAAAATCTTGATATGGCAAGATTGGGTGCTAATCACACCCATGCAAGTTTACCTTCACTACAGCCTTCCCAGTGTTTTCCCCCTTGAGCATGCCTATAAAAGCCTCAAGGGTTTTCTCAAACCCTGCTGTCACCGTCTCACGATACTTCAATCGTCCCTATAGGAACAGAACAAGAGATGCATAATGGGAAAGAACTTTAGATGAAAAGAAATAAAACCAAAATAAAGATAACCTTTTTTTTTTTACATTTACAGGCATATTCCAGTTACAATTCCCCAGTAATTCAGAATTTCTTGCCTGAACAAGCATTGGCTAGCAATTTTTATTGGGTGATCACTGAGTCTGTCCACTCACTAGTCAATCCATCTCCTGAAGTGGTAGAATGAGTCTCTCTTAACTTAGAATTGCCTTAAAGAAACATGAACAAGTGCAAATGCTAAACTAAAATACACTACATAAGCAAATAATCAGCCATCAAAAAGAATCTGAGAGCTGCAAGTTCTGCAGTGAACAAAAATAAGTCCTCTCACCCAGGAACAGTTCAATAATAAGGTAGTCACAAAAATTAGATTAAAATTGTAGAGACTTCATTTGCTTGTTAAAACATATGCTCTCTGCTGATGAAGAACTTCCTAATCCCAATGGGAATTGGTCTACACCTCATATTTAGATGCAGCTAAGAAATGCAAAATCGCTTGTTCTTACCTCCTTGACCCATTCTGCCATCTGTTGCACTCCTTCATTCCATCGATCCATCCAACGCAAAACACTGAAGCCTTCAATACGAAGTTGCTTGGAGAGCACAACAGGAGTCCACTGAGGCACTGCCATAATGTATTTTAAAAAAGCCACTGAAACATTCCATTCCTCCACTAATATAGATCACAAAGGGTATTTTATTGCTATCAAGAGACAAAGATACTGATTCTGAATGTAAAAATTACAGACAAGAGAAAAGCCTACAGATGTTTTTCTTTAAGGCCCAAGTCCCAAAATCACAGTAGAATATGTTCTGGATGAATTAGATGCTTAATTTCAGTAAATGCATACTTCAAAAAATTTTTATTAGGTAAGGATAGACCTTTCTCCCATTATGCACACAAGTATTACAAACAATCCTCCAGAAATGCCAAAAAAAAACAGAAAAAAATTTAATAGGTAGTTTTTTTCTGGAAATAACATAAAAATATGCAATTCAACTTTATGATGCACCATGCTAAAACAAGTCAGATGCATATGTTAATCACTGCAACACTGACTTTACTTCATTTCCAAGAATGATTAGTAATTTTAGATTTTTTGCAAGACCCAAGAAAGGAAAATCATGAAGTAACTAAAGTGTGCCTCTCACCTTTAGGCATATTTGCACGGTCATCATTATAACCGCTGATACTTCCACAGATAGCCATACGACCAAAGGTATTCATGTGCTGCATTATCACAGCAGTCATCTCCCCTCCAACCTGTCAAAGTCACAGCTACAGCATAATGGTCTCATAAATTCATTCAACATTGGCAAGAAAACAGCATAGGAGGTTCATTAAACAGCTTGGTTAGTAAAAACAGTACAGTCTCACATTGTCAAAGAAACAATCAACACCATTTGGGGCAGCTTCCTTGAGCGATGCAGCCAAATCAACAGTCTTGTAATTATATGCATGGTCAAACCCCAGTTCTTTCAGCCACTCCACCTTATCATCACTCCCAGCATACCCAATCACACAACATTCTATGGGCGAAATGAAAGAAACCTCACTCCTCACTTCATGAAAATGTAAAATGTCAGTGGTGAACACTGCCTTAAGTATGAGCATAACGCAAAGGCACAAATAAAGCTACAGAAAAGAATTGGTGAATTAGAAAATAGTCATAATCTTGAAAACTCTGAAGAGTCCCCAGCAACAAAAAATTCAGCAGTTGCCCTAAAAACCAAGATGACAAGTGAGAGGCAGCATTCATCTTAGTACATCCCACCATATTCATGTTCATATTTTCCAGGATTCTTGCCTGACCCTCCTTGATGAAAGACAGGATCCTCTAACACAAGCACTCCTAAGTCAGCATTTTTCATGCTCTCACTAAGTTTTCTCATAAGCCTAAGAGGTTCCCAAAAAATAAGTTACACAACATGTTTCCCAAAACCTATATCAATCTGTATGCAGACAATATTTTGAAAAGAGAATTGAAAGTAGTGAAAAAGCCATATGTGAAGAGAAGCACAGCTCATGAAGTCAATGAAGCCATGGCATATCAGTTGAAAATTATGAAAACAAAGAGCCTGCTTTGCAGCTCTCTGTTAAGAGAAGCCCCTGACTATAGTTAGGAAAGCCATTAGAAGACAAGGAATACCTTTGATTTTGGCAATCTGTCCCACCAGGCTGCCAACTGCACCAGCAGCTGCATTGACTACAACTGTTTCGCCTTTCTTTGGCTTACACAACTCCAAGAATCCAAAGTATGCGGAATTCCTGGAGCATGAAGAAAGTAAGTCAGTCAAGCAATTGCAACATCTAAAAATTTTAATATTTTCTTTGCCTACTTCTCCCATAGGCCCACATCATTGACATGCAAAAACACTGGTCATAACAACAAACTTATTTGAAAACAGGTAAGTGGCTTCAAAGGTTACTTTCTCCACAGTTCTCCAGAATATGTCTGAAATTAACAACATTCCAGTTGAATCTTGAAAATTATTGCAAAGATGATAGTACACAGTATTTCCTACATTACCATTAGTGGGCCAGTCTGTCCTGGAATTGGAGGAAATGAAGGTCTTACCCAGGTCTGCCACAGGTGCCCAAAATAAGGGAGATGGGGAGTGGAGAGAAGCAGGAGGGGAGCACCACAAGACCAGTAACGTTTTCTGGCAGGGTCTCTGGTTTGATCAGTGTGTGCGTACGCCATCCAACATTTGCAACCACGGCCGTGCCATTTACGTACTTGTTGTTTCGACTCTGGCTCACCCTGACGAGAGTACAGAAAGTTCACCAAAAGTTCAGTGAACTGAAGTCATCATGTGCTCATTAATGGCAGGACTGAATTAATGCACATATCACAAAATATACCAGGAAATATATTCTCTTCCTTCCTTATATTAGCAGAGTGCTTCATGAATTGTAGTGGATGCACGTTACATGCTTCATCAACTTTCTTAGCCTCTTTGGCCTGATGGAAAACTTACAAAATAAAACATAGTAGTGTAAGAGGCTTCCACAGTTCCATATCTCATAGGGTACAAATGGAAAACCCATCATGTCCTTTATATCTACTTCTCTCAAAATGAGACACTGGATTGAATTTTTGAGGAAATTTTGGTTTTCCATGGCAAGCATAAGAATAGATGTAACAATGAAGTTCAAATTTCTTGCTGTGCTGGATGTTTTACTTAGGGGAAAAGAATAACATAAGGGAAATCAAAAGTAGCTGTTATATCTCATACCTGTGCCAGATGACTGCCTTCTCATTGTATTTCCACTACATGAGAATCCAAATGCATTTTGATGAGGCACTACTATTTCATTGAATCTTACTAACAACTATTCAGACTGACCAATTGGGAACCATCCACATTGGTTCTCAAAATGTGCTATCTCAAAACAATTCGAGGGATGACAGGGTCGAATGAGAAATATCAAATGTGGCAGCCCCCATCAAGAAAGCAAGAGCTTGGTCATTTCTTTTATGTCACTCGATTTCAGACATGTAAAGGTGAATTATTATGTGTGCAGTAGCTTTTTTTGGGGATTGGTGAATGTTAAGACATCCTAACTGAAAGGATGAGTTGGTAGAACTAGTGAGGATATGTCACAATAGGAAATCTTTTTACTCTCTGTTAGCAGTTGCTTAATACAAATCACCAAGTATGAAAGTTTGAGTTTGTTCATTCTTTCCTTCCAGTGACTCTTAAAATAATCTTATCTTCTAATTTTGGGTTTGATTTACATCCCACACTTGTATTGCCAAAACTAAGTTTGTCCGATCCCCCCCCCCCTTTAGGCTCGGCGGGCGGGTATATCCTAGCTGCCTCTCCATATTTCAAGTGCCTCGTTTTAGCACTCTCCCAACAAT